AGTGCGTCCTCAGTGTTTGCGGAAGTAAACATGACTCGTAATACCGCAGCGTATATTGCGTTCTTTAAGTTCTTCTCCAACAGGTGCAGGCACATTACGAACAAAATCTTTTTAAGAAGATCAAAAAGAAAGACCCTCCCCCGGTTCCGGTAAGACCCTTTGAGTTTGGTCTGAATCGAGCTATCTTTCCAAATATGAATTAAGTCAGCAACCTCACTTTCTCTCCATTGACTGCTCTCTGTGTTATCTTCCGCAATGGTCGTTAGTTTTTCCCGCCTCCGCTTAGTAGGACGCAGATTAGTAACGTTTAGTAACATTTGTCAAGTATCAATGACGTGTAGTTCGGATGAATGCGACCTGGCCGTACAGACACAGGTCGCATTTGAAAAGATCAGATTCGTATCGGATTCAGGACCACATATCCAAGTGGCCTGGGTCGCATTTGAAAAAATCCGATCTGTGTCGTTCAGACTGTCATAAAAAGATCAGATACAGGTCACATATGGGCAAAAAAATCGGAATTGGGTCACTTCAGGCTGCAGTGTGAATGTAGCCTAATATGCTTAGCAATAAAAGGCAAATGGGTACATTAAATAAAGTTGTGGACGTCAGAATTTAGAAATGATAAACTCCTCCGGAGGGGAAAGCAGTGGGAGTGGGGAGCTGCTGACCTTGAAAGAGGATATTGTCGGACAGTGGAAGGAATACTTTGAGGATCTCCTCAATCTGACAGACACGCCTTCCGTGGGGGAAGAAGAGACGGGGTGCTTGGGGCTGGATTCGTTCATCACCAAGGCTGAAGTCACCGAGGTGGTCAAAAAACTCCACGGTGGCAAGGCTTCGAGGGTGGACGAGGTCCGTCCTGAGTGTCTTAGAGCTCCGGATGTTGTCGGGCTGTCATGGTTGACACGTCTCTTCAACATCGCGTGGAGGTTTGGGTACAGTCCCCCTGGATTGGCAGACTGGGGCGGTGGTTCCCCTCCACAAGAAGGGGGACCGAAGGGTGTGTTCCAACTATCAGGGAATCACACTTCTCAGCCTCCCCGGAAAGGCCTGGCTTTGTCCGGCTGATTGTCGAACCTCGCCTGCAGGAGGAGCAGTGTGGTTTTCGTCCTGGCTGTGGAACAGTGGACCAGCTCTACACCCTCTGCAGGGTGCTTGAGGGTTCATGGGAGTTTGCCCAACCAGTCCACATGTGTTTTGTGGACTTGGAGGAGGCATTCGACTGTGTCCCTCGTGCTGCCCTGTGGGGGGTGCTCCAGGAGTATGGAGTCAGGGGGCCTTTATTTGGGGCCATCCGTTCTCTGTTCAAGCAGAGGTCTGGTTCGCATTGCCGGCATTAAGTCGGACCTGTTCCCGGTGCATGTTGGACTCCGACAGGGCTGCCCTCTGGCACTGATCCTGTTCATAACTTTTATGGACAGGATTTCTAGGCGCAGCCAAGGACCGGAGGATCTCGTTCCTGCTTTTTGCGGATGACGTAGTTCTGCTGGCTCCCTCCTGCCAAGACCTACAGCGTGCGCTGGGGCGGTTCGCAGCCGAGTGTGAAGCGGCCGAGATGAGAATCAGCTCCTCCAAGTCGGAGGCCATGGTTCTCGACCGGAAAAAGGTGGCTTGTCCCCTTCAGGTTGGAGGAGAGTCCCTGCCTCAAGTGGAGGAGTTCAAGTATCTTGGAGTCCTGTTCATGAGTGAGGGAAGAATGGAGCGGGAGATCGATAGACGGATCGGTGCGGCTGCTGCAATAATGCGGGCGCTGCACCGGTCTGTCGTGGTGAAGAGAGAGCTGAGCGAAAAGGCGAAGCTCTCAATTTACCGGACGGTCTACGTTCCTACCCTCACCTATGGTCATGAAATTTGGATCATGACCGAAAGAACGAGATCCCGGATACAAGCGGCTGAAATGAGCTTTCTCCGCAGGGTGGCTGGGCTCTCCCTTAGAGATAGGGTGAGGAGCTCGGTCATTCGGGAGAGGCTCAGTGTAGAGCCGGTTCTCCTCCACATCGAGAGGAGTCAGTTGAGGTGGCTCGGACATCTTCTTTGGCGTCTCCCTCGGGAGGTGTTCCAGGCACGTCCCACTGGAGGGAGGCCCAGGGGACGACCCAGGACACGCTGGAGAGACGATGTCTCTCGACTGGCCTGGGAGCGCCTAGGGCTTCCCCCAGCAGAGCTGGAGGAGGTGTCTGCAGAGAGGGAAGTCTGGGAGTCTCTGCTTAGTCTGCTGCCCCTGCGACCCGGTTCCAGATAAAGCGGGAGACGACGAGTATCCCTACGACTTTAAACCCTGGGGTTTCATCATACAGTTTTTTAGATGTCAGTAAAATGATTGAAAATATTTTACAGTGTACAGTATGTCCTGCTTCAGTTGGCTCCATGTATCTTAGAGTATAGACATACTAAAATACTTTTAATAATCTTAAATCCCCAAATGGCTTAGCTCCAAAATACATCACAGACATGCTGTGTCAGCCAGACCGGGTCTTCTGGCTCAAATCTTCTCTGCTCAACCAGAACCAAACATGGAAAGTAGCTTTTAGCTTATATTCCACTGATCTGGAATCAACTCAAATAAAACAGTTAAAGACCTGCAACCCTCACTTACTTTTAAAAATCTGCTTGTTTAAATGGCCTTTCATTGTATTATTTAAACATTATTAGTTTAAGTTTGTCGTCCAACTTTCTTTACCCGGACAGTCATTTCTACAATAGTAGTTTTAATTTCAATACTTTAACTTCTCATATTAATATAATATCATATATAATTTCATTTATGTTTTTCTTTCTCTCCTTCCAAGCCTCTCCAACATCGGTTTCTGTGGTTTTCCATTGCATGTTATTAATGCACAGTGTTTTCAATCGCTTTGTTACATATTTACCATTAAACATGTCTTGTCTTGCCTATATGAATTACACTGATTATACTTTAGATCTTTGCCGTAGGCTGGCAGTTATGCAATAGGATTGAGGATGAATACTCCTGTTATTTTCCACAGTGTTGCCTAACAATATCCGTGTGGTTTCCCATACTTTTTCACATGACAATTTTTTCATAGTTTATAGTCCAATAGAATTAATTTGAGTTTGTCCCAAAAAAGCAAAAAAAAAAAAAAAATCAATCCACTGGACTTTGATTCCAAGTTTAAAGACGTTTCTCTTCCCATCCAGGAAGATTTTTTAATCTAAAATGTCAGAAATAGCGTTGAGTTTGAGGCTTTGAATCATTGGGTTTCTTTGTTAGCCTGCAATGCCCCATACCTGTCAATGTCTCTGAAAGGGGGGTCATTAAAGTGAATTGTTGGCCTGGCTGAATAGGTGAGGTCTCCTGTTCCCCTGTAGGGGGTTGGGGTTGCAATAATAGCGGGAAGGGATCAACTCTATTGCTGCGTTGTAGGTTTTTGAAAGCTGTAATCTGAGTCCCCCCCCCCCCCCTTTGTTTAAGGTTGGTTTTTCTTTCTTGACATAGATGGCTTCCTTCACACCTTCTATGTTAAGAAAGCAAAAAACAACCTCAAACAGAGGAGTCGGACTCAGATTACAGCTTAATGAATTGATAAATAATTAAAAAAAGATTCCTAACAAAGAAATGTTAAATCTAACAGGATTAGCAATTAAAAGGTGAGCAGCAGAGATGGGAAGTAACGAAGTACAAATACTTTGTTACTGTACTCAAGTAGATTTTTCTGATATTTTTACTTTACTTTACTACTTATTTTATGGCGACTTTTTACTTCTACTCCTTACATTCTTACACAAATATCTGTACTTTCTTCTCCTTACATTTTAAAAAATTGGCTCTTTACTTTAGTTTTTAATCATTTCAATGGAGTTACCGTTATTATTTTTCACGTCATCAATACCAAATTAAATCTAATTGGATGGGAATCTACGTTGCATTTGACGCACCACTACAAGATGAATCGACAGATTCGGCGGGATTCATTGGCGGCAAATCATTGCAGCTTGGTGGCGGTGGCGTTAGCATAGTAGCATGGACGACGAGATGATTGAAAATGAACACAACGGAGATCTAGTCCTATTGGCAGACATCCATTTAAAATGTAGGCAACGGCATGAAAAAAGTGGTTTCTACTTTTACTTTTATACTTTAAGTAAATTTACAAGCCTGTACTTTGTTACTTTTACTTGAGTAAAGAAGTTTAATCAGTACTTCCACTTTTACCAGAGTATTTTTTTAACACAAGTATCTGTACTTTTACTCAAGTACGGAAAGTGAGTACTTTTGCCATCTCTGGTGAGCAGGTACATTTAATGAAGTTGTGGAGATCAGAATTCAGAAATGATACACGGACATTTAAGAGATTTTCAAGACTTTTGATGATATGCTGGTGAAGATTTTCCGTCTTCCAGGTCTTTGTCATTCTAAAAAAGTAAAAAAAAAAAAAAAACTTATGGACAAAGGACATTCTTTTGAGGAGCAGAATGTTCACATTTTGAACAAAGAAGACAGGTGGTTTGAGAGGGGCGTGAAGGAAGCCATCTTTGTTAAGAAAGAAAAACCAACCTTAAGCAGGAGGGGGGAACTCAGATTACAGCTTTCAAAAACCTACAACGCAGCAATAGAGTTTATCCCTTCCCGCTATTATTGCAACCCCAACCCCCTACAGGGGAACAGAAGACCTCGCCTATTCAGCCAGGCCAACAATTCCCTTTAACGACCTCCTTTTAGAGACATAGACAGGTATGGGGCATTGCAGGCTAACAAAGAACCAAAATGACCCCCATTCCAAAGGGGTGGACCCGTTCGTCAGGGTCAGTTTATAAGTTTTCTAAACAAAAACAAGGCTTTGCTGGGCTGCTGTAGCTATAAAACAACAAACTCAATGCTATTTCTGACATTTTGAATTGAAAAAGCGAAATGTCTTCAAACTATGAAACAAAGTCAAGTGGATTGTTTTTTAACTATATTGGAATGACTATGACCTGGATGACTGTATTAAAAATATGTGAATTTCTTGTATTTAATGAACAAAAGAGACTCTCACCTTTCCGGATGACTTGATTCCCTTCCAGATACAAAAGTAACAGACAACCCAGCTCAGTAAAAGACACCCAGCCAGGTCCCAGCGCACACTGCCCATCTCATCAATGCCTCCAGACAAACCAAGAACTCTTCTTCTGTTTTCATGTCAAAATTGAACATTACATATAAATATTTATGGTACAAGTCAGTGAAACTGCAGGGTTCATACATGTACTTACTGCCAGAACTCATTGACTGATGAGGTTGTAGTTTTGTTGGTGTGACCATGGATTGATATATTGTGGCTGCCATCAATGCAGCTCCCTACACACAATGAAACAGTGGTGTTAGATGTTTAAACTGTAAAAAGTTAGATTCCTTACACATTGTGTGTGGTTTATTAGCTGAAATAGACCAAATTTTGGAAACATTATACATTTTAGTAAATTTTGGAGCCATTAGCATTACATCTTTTGCTTGTTAGAAATAGTTCTGTTTAAAGTTGTAGGTAAACGGCTGTTCCAACCGTTGCATTTCTGAATTCTCCAGAGTTGTCCAGTGTGACGATTTTGTCGTACTGCGTGCAACAATTGAAAAAAATCATACAGTGCATGCCCGGCTTAAGAACATCCATCATGAGCTGGGAACTTTTAAAGTCGTAGGGACATAGCCGTTCCAACTGTTGCATTTCGGAATTCTCCCGAGTGGTGCCTAACTTTACACGAGTGAATAAAATGATGTGATTGGTCGTTTATCGAGGGGGCGGGATTGTTGTGGTGGAAGGTTCACAAGCAAGTTTGGTTGTGGCCGGTTTGTCGGAAGCATCTTGCTAACCAGTTAGCAACTTAGTGCTAGCAGGTTCCCAATGGGAAATTCCATTGGGACCAAGTAGCACTAAATTGGTGACTTAGAAACGACGCTGTCAAGGAACGCTATGGACAGTGGAAACATGCAAGAGGAGGAGAGTTTAGTGTCGGAGGTCGTGGATGAGTCTCCTCCGTCATACATTTTTTATTTAGAGGAGGAAAGCGGGGACGAAGATGTTGTGGAAGAGGACGCCAGGGCGGCAGAAGCTTGGTTTGGTGTAGAAGGCTTCCAGCCGTACATGTTTGAGCCCTTGCCTCGCAACGCTGCCAGTTCTGTTAGCTCTACGCCTGCCGAAGACACAGACGTCCATCCCCGTGAACACTGGGATGCAACTCAATGGGAAAGGAAAGGATTCTGATTTCAACCGTTGCGTATATTAGCTGCGACACATGAATCAAGATGCTATGACCGAAAACATTATTGACAGATGACCGTCGATATATGATTGGCCGAATTTAGGTGTTCAGGCTGATGTAGAACTAACTGGCCTTCAGAAGATAACGGGAAAAAAAACAGATTTAAAGACAGGATTTTTTTTTTTAAATAGAAATGATCTCAATTTAAGGACAATATGGTCTGATAAAGAGTACTTTTATATACATGTTTAAGCCAGAATGATTTGACATTTAAATATGATTTCCCTACGACTTTAAGGGTGTTCTACATTTTTTTTACAGAAAGAAATCGAGTTCTTTCTGTAAAATTGACAGACCGTAGTAGTCACGTTTGTTCAGCCATGTTTTTGCCCAAATACATTGAAGCCTTTTCTTTTTAGGGCTTTCAGCACAAAATTGGAAAAATTGCCAAGGCAGCGCGTTTCACTCTTTAGCTTCACAGGAGGCATCAATAGGTTTCCGGATAGACAACTCCGACTAGCGGCATTTCACTGTGGAGCTGAATACGATGTGGTTTTTAGACGTACAGTGTGAGCAGGTAGATCGCATCAGAGCGCCGGGTCGCACAATGTGAGAACAAACATTGTGAGCTGTGAACTTTTAAACCCTATGGTTTCTTCGTACAGTGAGAGCTGTAGCTACATGCAACAATTGAAAATATCGCACAGAAATGCCTGGCTTAAGTAAGCATAGAATGTACTTTACATTAGTAGACTGCTGGACCGGACCTCAGTAGAGAGCAATGAGCCGCCTAGCCTCAGTGGGAGGAGGGGGGCAGGCGGCGGGAAGCAAAGGGGCCGAAGGTGTCCAGGCTACCATCACGGGGTCGGGTTCGGTCGCTCTGTCCCGGGCACCCGGACCAGCCCCGGAGCTGACGGCTTGGTTCGAATGCCTGGTGTGTTTCAACTACGTACTGCACTGTAGTCAACCAAAATCCCGGACGATTTTGAAATTCCCCCGGACATTTTTTTAGGTCTGGAAAGTAAGACATGTCTAGGAAAAAGAAGACGTTTGGTCACCCATTCTATAGCTAGCCCCAGCCAGCTGTAACCTCTCCACTCCGGTACTGTTTCCCCAGGGGACTTCTCACCCTGCATCCTCTCCCCACTGTAGAGCACCGATTCCCTGGGTGGATCCTCCGATCTCCCACTGTGGTTCCATTGTTCTAGAGGCTTAATCGGCTGGTCCTAGTTCTTTTTTTTTTTTTTCCTTTCTTTGCTGGTTTTCTTGCACTGATTTCCCGCTTCTCCTGTCTGAGCTCCAGAATGCCATCTTACCTAACGCTCTGAGGCGAATCCAACGACCAGCAAACTCCATGGTGTAGGAGATTTGCTTTCGGAAAAGCAGACGAACCTGGGCAAATGTTTGCATGTTTCTTGTTCGGTGTGAACACACCCTAACAAACACAATAAAGGCTAAAAAAAAACTCAAAACTAAGAATAACACAAAAACGGACAAAACAAATAGAAATGAAAAAGACTGCAAAAGAAGCAGCAAAGTAAAAAACTCTATCCAAATACAAAGCTTTCTGCAAAAGTATAAATTATGCTAAGACACAAACAAACCAAACGTATGCAAAACAAATATTCTGTTATTAGTTAAATCAGCTGTAAAAGAAAGTTAAAGAAAAGCTGCAAACCAGAGCCACAAAACAGAAGTGGCCCAGGTCACTAGGGGGTCAAACCCTTAGTTAGAACAGAAACTGTCATGATCTGGCCTGTTTGCTCTCCCTTAATTAGTTATTCCTTTCACCTGTCATTTTCCCTCCCTGTCTCAATTATAATTTATTCCTCTCACCTGTTTCCTCTGGGTTATATTCAGTTCAGCCTGAGCATTCAGTGCCAGATCATTCTTGTCTTTTTGTTAGTCTGTCTGTTCAGTTTTTGCCTTGGTTCATGCCCTGGATCCTAGCAGCCAGTGGAAAGAGGGTTTTGTGTTTGTCTCGTCTCCTGATCGTCCACTGTTCCTCCCCCGCAGAGTCCTCTGGGTTTTTGGCTCTATATGCGGGGAGGTTCAGTTTTTATCTGAGTAAGCCTGGCTCCAGGGAGGAGACCAGTTTAAAGTCCTGCATCAAGTTCTGGTTCCATGTCTTGTCTGGTTCCACGTCCACTGAGCCTGCTCATCTGCACCTGATCCTGTCTGCTCCTGTGTGTGACCACCTGGTCATGCTTCTGGTCCCAGTCAGACTCTGAACCCTCCTGGAAGCCTGTGGATGCCTGGAAGTCTGGATCCTGCCACCTGTCTGGTCCTCTCTGTTCTGGATCCCTGACCAGGATCGGCTTCCAACATGACCTCTCGGACTGCAGCACTTGGGGACGTTCTTGGACTGGACTGTTAAACCAGGTAAGTGGCCAACTCAGATAATCATCTTCTGTCAGATGATCGTGGTCACTTACCTGTGTTTCTCCCGCAGAGTGTCCGTGATTGGGCGGTGCCCCGCTCCCCATCCTGCAGTGTCCGCGAGCCACAGCTCCATTTAGTTTTATTTAATAAACTTTTTGAACTTTCCTACTGACTGTCTCTCCTTGAATACTGGGTCCTTCTGTCCGAAGTTCATAACAGAAACAGGACGCTCAGGGAGATTAAGCGCTAAAAAAAAAAAAACAATTAAAACCTAAATATACTTCATTTCTTCCAAACTTCCTCTGGACTTGCATCCCGTTTATTTTTCTACTAAGGATCTGGGCCACAGACATTTATTCCTGTTAACATCTGTGTCCTGCTCTGTTTGAGTCAATGATTGGCTCCCCCTAGTGGTCTGGAGTACTTCCTGCAGAGCTAGTTTGCAGCTTTTCTTTATATCTGTTTCTACTACTTGCTGCATTTTTTTGCATATTGTTTTTAGATTTCCACTACAATGCTATTTATTTTCTTTGATTGCAACATTTATCCTTTGCAGCATTGTTTCTTTGCATATATTTAGTGTGTAAGTCAAATTTTTGTGTAAGTCCTTCTTTTGTCTATGTAGTGTTTTTTTTTTATTTAATTTATTGCATTATTTTTGTATTTGCATAGTGTTTACATCTTTCAGACACGTGTGAAAGACACGTGTAAAGGAAGATAGAGGGAGGTAAGTATGAATATGTTACAATAAAATAACTTTCAGGTGACATTTTATATGAATTCTACTGAACTGACTAATTTATCAAAAAAAATCTCAATATTTGTTCCTGAATCGTTGCTATTTATTAATAATTGAGAGAAACAAAGGTCTTTGTGGCATTTTCAAAATTTCTCTCTTTAGAGTGAAGTCATATCTGTGTTCCAGGTGTTGTTGCAGCTTGCCCAGGGCAGGACAGTTTGGAAGGAAGAGAAAAGGTAGAAGAAGGTCCATGCCAATATGACGATGTAATATGTTGAAGTGTAGAGTATTATTATAACACTGCTGTAGCCTAAACCTATGTAGAAAAGAGTCCGTTATAAAACAGTACAAACCCAGTTAGAGATTCTGGTAATATAACGTTGCATCGGATTTAGCATTACCTTCAAATAAAGGACACAACTTCCTCCAACATGTAATTCCACCCTGCCTGGTCGACTGTCCCAAAGAAACTTCAAGGAAAAAGATGGGGATTCCACAGCAAAGCAGCATCAGAAAATAAGGCACCAGGAAAATTCCTAAGGCAGATGATATAAAAAGGATATGCATATAAAAGCTAAGCTCTCCATAATGTTCTCTGATATATTTTCGTCCACTTACCTCCTCCGTTTTTGAAGCAAAGATACGGAAACCTCCAAACATTTCCCAGACCGATGATTCCTCCCATTACTGCTAAAACAAACTCTGTCTTGTTGTTCCACTGTCCTCTCTTTGCAGAAGTTGCTGCAGATTCCCGTGAGCTGTTGTCATCCTTCACCAGATTCTTCTCGGCTGGATGGGTAGATGCCATGGGGACTGGATTGCTGTGTAGAATTTACGGCAGTAAATTAAATAAATTCTTGCTATATGAGTAATAAAAAAAATCTTTTTTTTTTTTAAACTGCTGTATTAATATCAATGCATTCTGTAGCCTATAAAAAAAAAAAAAAAAAAAAAACAAACATCCTCTTATTCCAAAAAGCAAAATAACGCACTGGAAAAAATCTAGATGAGTAATTTTTCCTTAAAATAAATGCATTTATTCTTGAACTGAGAAGGTAAAAGAGACATTTTGCCAATGGAACAAAAATAATCTTAATATCTTTTCTCATTCCATTGGCAAATCATCTCATTTACCTGCTCAGATTAAGGTTAAAAACACTTAATTTAACAAATTTTAATGATTTCTAGATTGTTTTTCCAGTGTGCTTCCCTCTAAAGACTATGAAGCAAAACAAAAAACACAGTTGGATGTTTTAAGAAGCAAATATCATTAGAAGGTTAAAAACAACTCACCAAGAATATTTATAGGAAGATTTTCAAGGCTTTCTGTTGTAATGATGTGGAACTCCTTCACCACTGGAAGATCTTTAACCTTCAATAGTGATAAAGGAGCAAAGCCACGCCCACTGAGGTGTATGAAACATTGTGTCTTTCCATCTTTTACAGGCTTCAGCCAGTCTTGGCTGTCTATTAGCATTCTGAAGGCAAGCCTAAACAAGAAGGTGCAGGGACCCATAAAAGCCACCAGTGTCATGATGGGTTTCTGGATGCTAGCCCATATGCAGAACACAACCGGAGGCAGGGAAAAAGTTCAAAGGGACCCAGCGGCGGGTCCAGCTGCTACGTGACCTCGTAATTTTACCAAACCCCCAGTATTGATGTAAAAAACACATTTGGCAGTTTGGTGACATTTATGGATAAATGTGCCAAAATGGCCTCTCCGCCTAAGAAATTTCTCACTAATACCATTCTAAAATAAATATGATTCATCTGATTGAGTCCAAATTTGGTATATTTTTACACAACATTTAGATTTAAAATTCTGTACTACTTTTTTGTGCTATAAATAATATTTTGGTAGCGTTTTGCAATGTTTATTTCAAAGAAAATTTTGACGAGGTTCAAAAAATGCTAAATATTTTGTATTTTGTCCCTAATATTTCAGGCAGGGTCAAAGCTACCATGGTGCTGACACCAGAAAACCATTCTATGACATCTTACCTTTACAGACGTACCAAAAGTTTCTTCTTAAATCTAATAGCTGTGAGGCTATAAGTGATTTACTTTTGTGTGTTTTTGTCAGGCAGACATTTATTTATAAACCCTGAGGGTGTAAGAGGTTAATGAAGATTGTATACAAAAACAGGTAAGGTGGATAATCAGGTCCAAGGGCTGGTCACGACTGGATTCACTGTTCAGAGGTTTGAGCTGGGCGGCAGAAGGGGGAACCAGGAGGATCCAGTGGCTGTCGGCAGGCTGAAGACTTGGAGGAGGCTGGGCTTGGTTTAGGGCTTGCAGATTCCGGGTTTGAGTTTCCCCTCCAGATTCTTCAGAGAGCTGGTCGGCAGATCTTTGGCAGGTTTGGTTCTCCAGGGGTTCTTCTGAGATCAGACTGACCGATTTCCAACAGAGAAAACTCTTCAGGGGGTTTCTGGTTTCAGGCAGGTTCAACCGAGACTGACTAACACTCTGGCACTGGAGTGTGGTCCTCAGCCCACTTAAATGCTGGTCTCCTGATGAGCAGATGAATAACAGCTGGTGAAGTCAGCACCAGCCTCAGGAGATCCAGTACGCCCTCTGGTGGAGGAAAGGTAGACATAACCCAGAAACCAACAGAAAAACAAACCCCAGGAAGGGATCCTTGGCGCCCTCTGGTGGGCAAGCCTCAGGATCCCAACGACCAGATACCGAGCATGTTTGTTCTCATCTGTCCTCATGCCATTAAAACACTTTTAGTTCATTTGTATAAAGGAACCAAATGCAAACAAACTTCCTGAGACAGTTTTTACCCGACAGCAATAACAAAACTAAATGCAACCAAAAATAACCATTAATCATCATGGATGATGTGTGTGAGAATGAACTATTCTTATGAGTTGTTTTGTATCAGTTATTGTTATTTATTTCTTATATTATGTGTAAACGGTTGTGACAGTGATTTTTTGTTTTTAAGCATATACACTGATCGATGGCACTTTTTAAAATTTCGCTGTTCTTATGACAATGACAATAAAGATAAATTGAATTGAATTGAATATACGTAAAATGTCACAAGATTGTTGGTCCCTTTAATTCACCACTGAGAATAGCTTTTAATTATTTTGACTAATTAACTGTTTGCCTCTATAATGTGGAAGACCAGGAGGGAGACAAAAATATACAAAAAGAAATATAACTTTGAAATTCAACCTTTGAATCATAACATTTTTTGATCAAATCAGTTTGAAAATCTTTTTGTAATTTACATTGTGTCATCAAATAAAAATGATAAATTGTACTTATTAACCCACTATTAAAGTCATAGAGAAATCATATTTAAATGTAAATCATTCTGGCTTAAACATGTATATAAATGTACTCTTTATTAGACCATATTGTCCCAAAATGTATGAAAAATTTTATCTAAAAAAAAAACATCTTGTCTTAAAATCTGTTTTTTTTGTTTTGTTTTTTGCTTTTCTTTTTCAGTCTTGAACTTTCTCAGCATTTCTTCATAATTTATTACACAACACAAAAATAATCTGTCTTTTGTTTAAATTTATAGGAAAACGAAATAGGAAAATATATTTTCAAAATACAAACCCTATTTTCTTTTTGTGTGTGTATAGATGGATCATTTTTTTGTTTCTAAATGCTGGAATACATCGGGTAAAAGAGAAATAAAAGAGTTATTCCACCTTTCTGATTCCTGATCCTCCACGGACGGGTTGGTCGTTGGATCGCCAACTTGAAGAGGGAGGATTTGCCATCGAACTTCTGGCCAGAGAAAAAACCCGTAATATGTAGCCAACATTTGGAAGAAGAATGTTTTCAAGATGACTTGGATAATAGCGCGTTGTGACAAACACCAGATACAGCACTGGGACTTGATCAACAGCCGATACCGCACCGTGACGTCACTAACCAGTAGGTGGCAGTAGTGTTCTTTGACAAACATGGATGCCTCGGGTAAAGCACATTCACATGAAAATTACTCTGAATTAAAAACACTGATCATTTATTGAACAGGATGGAATCATTTCAGATTTAAAGTACTTTCAGAAGTATAGTGTATTTTGAATTTGAGCGAACTTTTCCTGTAAGAGTATTTGACCAGTTAAACCAGCAGGGTTATGGAAATGCTAAATGGAGTAATGTAAAGGAAAAAAATGTGACTGCAAAAAGGATTAGAAAAAAATGTAGTGTGAAAAAGAAACGAATTATGAAATTAAGTGTTAGAAACATATTAATTTCCACTCTTATGGTGATGATACCCAGCTATATCTGTCTATAATCCAGATGAAGCTAACCCTTTACATAGATTACAGGCATGTCTTGAAGACATAAAAACCTGGATAACTTTCTGCTTCTGAATGCAGATAAAACAGAAGTTATAGTCTTTGGACCAGAGTCTCTGAAAAAGAAGCTGATTAGTCAGTCACTTCATTTGGATGGGATTAAACTGATTTCAGATAATAAAGTAAAAAATCTTGGTGTTATTTTTGATCAGGACCTGTCATTTAAATCCCACATCAAAGAGGTTTCTAGAATTTCCTTCTTTTATCTCTGGAATATTGCAAAATGTATTCAAATTAATTCAGTTTATTTATATAGCACCAAATAAAAACATGTCATCTCAGGTCACTTTACAAAGACAATTCAACCAGATCATCCAGTCAGATTGGTTCCAAGTTTTCAGCTGAATACAATGATTTATTGACTCTTCAGCAATCCCTCAAACTAAGCATGCTTGTAGCGACAGTGGAGAGGAAAAACTCCCTTTGAACAGGAAGAAACCTCCAGCAGAAACAGGCTCAGTGTGAGCGGCCATCTGCTGAGGCCCACTGGGGTTCAAGGAGACAGAAGCAGAGATAGAAAAAGAAGCATAGATACAAAAGGCAACTGTCAACCAGCTCCACAGGCGGCCCCGTCCAGGAAACACACAGCCAGGCAGACGAGCTCCGAGCCAGCTCCCATGTCAGAGGATGAAGAGAGCACATCCAGTTAGTCACAGTCAGAGAAACAGGACTACACTGGAAAACAGGCCAAGCTCCAACATCCTCGTTCTCACATATTAAAATGAGAAATATCCTGTCCAGGGGTGATGCTGAGAAACTAGTCCGTGCATTTGTTACTTCAAGACTGGACTATTGTAATTCTTTACTATCAGGAAGTCCACAAACTGTAGTTAAAAGCCTTCAGCTGATCCAAAATGCTGCAGCCAGAGTTCTGATGAAAATGAAAAAGAGAGATCATATCTCTCCTATCCTGGCTTCTCTTCATTGGCTTCCTGTTAAATCCAGAATAGAATTTAAAATCCTCCTTCTCACATATAAAGCCTTAAATGGCCAAGCTCCATCTGATATCAGAGATCTGATTGTTCCTTATGTTCCTAACAGAGCACTTCGCTCTCAATCTGCAGGTTTACTAGTGGTTCCTAGAATTTCTAAAAGTACCCTACTTAAAAAAAATTAAAGGAACACTTTGTAATCATAGTACAGCATCGAGTTAATTAAACTTGTGGGATATTGATTTGGTCAGTTTCAGCTGCTTTGGTGTTAATGAAATGAACAACAGTTGAACTAGAGGGGAAACAACGAGACGACCATCAAAACAGGAATGGTTTAACAGGTGGAGGCCACCCCCTCCTCATCTTTTCAGACTCTTTTTCACCAGTTTTGCATTTGGCTAAGATCACTGTCAATACTGTTAGCATGAGGCGCTACCTGGAGGTTGCACAGGCAGTCCAAGTCCTCCAGGATGGCGCATCAATACGTGCCATTGCCAGAAGGTTTGCTGTGTCTCCCAGCACAATCTCAAGAGCATGGAGGAGATTCCAGGAGACAGAAAGTTACTCCAGGAGAGCTGGACACGGGCGTAGAAGGTCTACCAGTTTTAGTACTGGTTTAGTACTTCCTGGCATATAAAACTTTGCACCAACCACAGTAACCTCTGACACTTAACTGTGCATCAAAAAGTACAAAATTTTGAGAAAGAACATTTTGTTGGCAGAGGTGGAAAGTAACGAAATACATTTACTCAAGTTACTGTATTGAGTAGGTTTGTTGTGTATTTTGTATTTTTCAAGTAGTTTTTAAAATCGGTAATTAAAATTTTACTTGAATACGTTTTGAGTGAAGTATTGTATTTAGTTACATTACAAATCCCATCCCAAACTTTGGAAAACCGAAAGGAAGACAAAAAATCGGGCCCCGGAAGCACTACAGCGAGTGACGTGATCAGCATGTAGATCTAGGCTACCAGGCGCAGAGTCTTTCTGTAGGAGATTGGGAACAAGATGGAGGTGGATCAGGAGAGCGACGACGGTTCAGAGAACGTTTCACTAGAAATGCTAGCTGAAACATCGAATTCTGCTGCCCAAAACTAAGAAAATCCTGGGCCTTAAATGGGTCTTAAATGTCATGTGTGACATGTGTTATCTTGTCATTACATGTGTATACATTTGTGTAGATTTTTCTTTAATTAAAAACTAAATAGTTTTGGATTTACAACTGCTTGTCCTATTTTCACTACATGGGAGAGATCCCCTGCCCCGTTCAACAGTTTTTTTAAAGTAACTTTTACTTAAAATACATTTAAAATTAGCTAATTATTACTTGTACTTGAGTAATATTATATCCTAGTATTGGTACTTTTACTTGAGTATGATATTTTAGTACTTTTTCCACCGCTGTTTGTTGGCAAGTATTTCTTTCATCTGTTAGCCTGACCGCTCAATATAGGAATTCTCATTGGTATCCATGGTAGGAGAAGTGAAAAGCTAATCATGGTTTAATATTAATTACAAACCAAAGTCCCAAAAAATTATATTTAAGAAAAAAACAGATGATAATTAGCCATTAGTTTACTCTAATCCTTAATCACAGTTAATATGTTTAAAAAAGGATACATTTTGGAGGGTTTGGTTTGAGGCCTTGTTTTTCTCTCAATGGGCCAATAGGGGGCAGCATAACATTTTTCTAAATCCTCAGCATGTCAGCATATCTTTATTTTACATGTGAACAGATTTTAGGAAGCTGTTTAGAATCAGAATGAATTATTGCATTTAGCTCCATTTTAAACCTGAATATTTCAATAAGAGGCAAGATAAGGGTACATTTTATCCTGGTTTTTTACTTTGTCAGTGCTTTTTTTTTTGCTTTTTATATAATGTTTTTTAGGTATTTTGAACATTTATACATAGAAAGAACAAGGATAGAAAGAAACAGGATAAAACATATACAGCACTGATACAGAAAACAAAACCAGAGGTATGTGCATAAATTACAGCAAAAATTTGAAAAAGTAACCAATTTATATATAAACTTGAACATATACATCATTCAGATTCTCATTACTGGTCTTTACATTTTGAAATTTGGAAGTGTTTGAGAGTATCTTCCCATCTTTTTTTAAAAGCATAGAATTTCTCATTCAGACAGCATCTTAATCTTTCTAATACAGTAACTTCAGAAAGTAAGTTTTTGCATTGCTGGATTGAAGGGGCATCACAACTAACCCATTTAATAATTATAGATTTTCTGGTCAATGTCAATAGAAAATGCACACAGTCTCTTTGGGAGTATCCTGATGACTGGGTATGAAACCAAGAGGAACAGGACTGGGCCAGAGAAAAGTGTTTGCCCTATAATGGAGCTAATCTCTCAACATACTGCTTGCCAGAATGCCCCTATAATTTTTTGGATATATAGTTACACATATATACAAAAATGTTTGTATATCTGGAGCTTGTAACAAAAGTGATTTCCCTCTGGTAAATTGTTCCCTCTGATATATATATATATATATGTATGTGTGTGTGTGTGTGTGTGTGTGTGTGTGTGTGTGTGTGTGTGTGTGTGTGTGTGTGTGTGTGTGTGTGTGTGTGTGTGTGTGTGTGTGTATGGAGATATGCATTATGGTATGATATGTTATGCATAAATTATGTTAAATATTATATCCATAGGGTGCTGGAATATATCCTGTGCCATGCAAACAAATGTTAATCACTGCCAAATAAGAAATTATTGATTATATCCAAATCAATTTAAAAATTACTACATGTTTACTATAACATTATTGTTTTTTTCCCCTTTTTTTCCAGGAGATAACAGAGGATGATTTTAATCTAAAATCAAAACAAAATCGACTCAAAAACCATAATTACCTGTTTATTATATGTTATTATAAACTGGGAGGGGGGTTCATATTATTATCTATTAATTAGGAATGTTTAAAAATAAATAGTCTAAGTCTATCTTTTCTACTCGCTGGAACACTGAGCAATTAAACGTCACGTGAAGTGGGTCATTGACCCGTTTTCTCCATGTTTACACGTTTTTTTTTTGTTGAGGTCTCTTTGAGTATAGCTCCATCTTCCGGTCACTCTCGCGCCACTCCGCTCTATCTCGCGCGCTGTCACCGGAGGGAGGGGGGGAATCACATGCTCCCCAGCAGACCAATCAGAGGCGAGGATTCCCAGGAGGCGTCCCGTTGCCATGAAGCTGTGGTGAAACTTGTAGCAGGTCTGGACGGCAGCTAGGGTAAGTTCTGCACACAACAGAAAATAAAGTAAGTCGCTGCTAAATCAAATAACCAGGAAATTAACTAATTAATTCATCAAATAGAACATATATGTTGAATTATCGTCTCTTGCTATACATTAGCTTGTTTTTACACAGTCTGTGACCTACAGAGAAACCGAACTTGATGCAAAAAAGGAGAAACTTTTGGGCGATATTAGATTTTCCTCCTTTTAAAGCCAAAATAAAGTCATTTAATAGCTTAGAATCCTGCACAGCAAGGAAACAGAAAACATCTTTCTTCTTCCAGAGGCTCCACACAGCTGAAGTTTCGATAGTAACTCAGCTAGAGAAGGACACGCCCCTCGCCGGGTGTCTGTCCAATCCCCAAGCGGCTCGCTGTGCCATCAGCCAATCAGCGCAGCCATGCTAATGTCTGTCTGAGGGACTGTTGTAATGTGAAGTTACCAGATTTATCTGTCAGTTATAGCGCTGTGGAGGACAGACCAGGAAGGCCCCAGCTAAGCTCGGTTGTTTTTAATTTTTAAAAGACGGAGGATTTGGATTTAATGTACAAGATGACATTTGAGGAACTAAGTGGGGATTATTCTCAAGAAAGGTGAATATTGTTGCTTATGCATGGTTTGTTTCACCCGCTGGCTGCTGATCTGCAGAAGTAAAGTTGTTTTATAATAGGTTAAACAGAAGTAGAACTACTTTTTAGGGGCTTTAAAGTGGCTTTAAAACAATTTTTTATATTGTTTTGAGGAACTTATGCCTTAATAATAATAATCATATAACAATAGTTGTGTTTTATAATTGCAAACAGAATGTCAGGTGTTCTGTCCAGGCGAGTTTCTTTCTGCTTCATTTTCACTTTTCACATCAGTTTCCATTAACTTCACCTCGTTAGCTTGTATGCAAAGGACTCTGAAGTGATTTTATCATTAAATATCACCTCTGTTATGCAGCATCTATAATTATTTCAACCAATAATAAATTATCAAACTTTAGTAAGGTGTTTCAAAAAAGTTTTTTTTTTTTTATCCACTTTATACAGCTTCATAAAGCCTGGAACTCAACGCTATTTCTGACATTTTGAATTGAAAAGCTTCCTGGATGGGAAGAGAAACATCTTCAAACTTGTTTTTTTTTTACTTTTTTTGGAATGACGATGACCTGGATGACTGGGAATCTTCACCAGCATCAGAGCGGGTGTCTATTTTGAAATACTTTGCTGTATTAAAGGCAAGCAGCTACTAATTTTTCATTTTTATAATTAATGCAAGTCAAGATTGTTAAACTGGACTTTTCTGCATTCCCAAAAGGATTCTATGAAGCTGTTTTGAATCTATAATTTCTTAAAAGCAGTTAAAAATCAATTAATCAATAAAAAAAAAGCTTCCTGGATGGGAAGCGAAACATCTTCACTGCAAAAACGATCTAGAAATAAGTAAAAATTTCTTAAATTAATTTGAGCAGGTAAATGAGATGGTTTGCCAATGGAATGAGTATTTCTTACTCTTAAAATAAGATAATTAGATCATATGCACTTGAAAATAAGACAATGCAATTGTTTTTTCTTATTTTAAGTGTAAATTGTCTTGTTCCATTGGCAAAAAGTCTCTTTTATCTCCTCAATTTAATAACAAATGCACTTATTTTAAGAAAAAAATGACTTATCTAGATTTAGATTTTTTGCAGTGTTCAAACTTGGAAGCAAATTCCAGTGGATTGTTTTTAACTTTTGGATCGATGGTTTCCTTAAAATTCAGTGTAATGGAGCATCTCTGTGAGGAAAGGAGTGACCTCTACTTGACGTAACATCTTTCACAAGCTGGAGGTCAATGTAAAGTGCAGACGGCGCGCCTGCAGCGACCTAACGCTGACTCTGTTTCTGTGCAGAATGGATACGGTGGCGAAAGCCCTGGAAGAAGTCCTCACCGCTGCCTTGCCACAGGGCTGCATCACAGTCGGCGTCTACGAGGCGGCCAAGTCCCTCAACGTGTGAGTACAGAGTCCCACCACTACAGGTGCAAAGGTGTCTCAAAAGAAGGACGTTTTCCACCTGACTGTTAACCTTTTCTCTCCTCCAGAGACCCGGACAATGTGGTGCTGTGCATCTTGGCCACCGACGAGGACGACGTCAAAGACGTGGCCCTCCAGATCCACTTCACGCTCATTCAGGCTTTCTGCTGCGAGAACGACATCAACATCCTGAGAGTCAACAACACCCACCGCCTGGCGGAGATCCTGGGGGGAGGGGGAGGGAAGCAGGGCAGCGGGGAACCTCTGGACCTGCACTGCGTGCTCGTCACCGTAAGTCACTTTCACTCTTTGAGCTCCTGGTTCTGGAGCAGCAGCTCGCCCACGTGACTGAAACTCGTACTCAGAGGGAACATGTCTGCGCTTGTCCTCTGATAAAACCTTTTACAGTTCCTCCTTCATGTGTCTTCTGAAGAATTTAATAGGGACTGTATGTTTATGCACACACACTGGCAGGGACACATCTAGAACTTATGTTTAGCTTGTTGTTTTTGGTCGTTTCCTGTCCGTATTCATTCTCTAATCTGGTCTAGATTCACTGCAGTGTCAGAGCAGATTTAGTCTGCAAAAACGAAAAACCCTCCTGAGGCAACTGTTAATTTTTTGAGAAAGATAAAATCTAAGGGGTCAAATAGCTGTAAATAAAAGCATGGTGTCAGAATTTGTCATTTTAAGTCAATAATGTCATTAATTTTAACATTTCTATTTGCTTATTGTTTATATCTCATACATACATACACGTGACGTCAGATGTTACATCAGCAAGGATTTAAGATTAGGGCTGCAACTAACGATTATTTTGCAAATCGATTAATCTGTCGATGATGTTTTCGAGTAATTGATTAATAATCGGAATGTCAAAGTTTTCCTAAAGAAGATTTTTATGAATTTAAACCAGGTGACGCTAAAATGAGTATTAGGGCCAGGCTAAGGATTTTTTTTCAATTATGAGAATACTGTTGTAAGATTACGAGAATAAAGTCGTAAGATTATGGGAAGAAAGTCGTAAGACTACGGGAAGAAAGTCGTAAGATTACGGGAATAAAGTCGTAAGAGTACTGGAAGAAAGTCATAAGATTACGGGAATAAAGTAGTAAGATTACGAGAATAAAGTCGTAAGATTACGGGAAGAAAGTCGTAAGATTACGAGAATATAGTCGTAAGATTACGAGAATAAAGTCAGAAGATTACGAGAATATAGTCAGAAGATTATGAGAATAAAGTTGTAAGATTATGAGAATTAAGTCGTAAGATTACGGGAAGAAATTCGTAAGATTACGAAAATAAAGTTGTAAGATTACGAGAATAAAGTCGTAAGATTACGGGAAGAAAGTCGTAAGATTACGAGAATATAGTTTTAAGATTACGAGAATATAATCGCAAGATTACGAGAATAAAGTTGTTAAATTACGAGAATAAAGACCTAATATTATGAGCATGAAGTCGCATTTTATGTCAACTCTTCCAAGAAGCCCTTTCTTCCCTAAAATGAGGAATGTGGAGCATCATGTGAAGTTCTACTTTAGCATCGGTTTGACAAATCAGGAAATCTTTTAGCAGCAGCATCAAACTGGGCAGGATGTCAAAGTGGACTCTGGTTGCTGATTGGTGGAGCTGGTCGGCCGTCATCTGCTGGGCGAGGCTTGAAGCGAATTCTTGCTGAATCGGGTTGTGTTCTTAATGTTACAACTTTATTCTCATAATAAAAACATTTTTTTAAAATCTCTAGCCTGGCCCTAATACTCCGTCCTAGGACAGAGTAGATTGACAGACGGAAAAGTTTTAACAATACGTAAAAAATAAGTTATGTTTTTCTTTTTAACAGTATAACTGCGTCACTCTGTGAGCTAAAGGCGTGTTTCACAGTCTCTATACTCCAATTAATGATCCATTACTAAATTAATTGAAGATCATTTAATAATCGATTAATCTGAATAATTGTTTCAGCTCTAATCAAGATTCAAAACTACAAATATCAATTAAAGTCACAACTTTAAAACAAGACATTCACATGTCGCACATTTTAAACAAATAGTCTTTAAAAACAAATAACAGATTTATAACCTCAGGGCAAAGTTTGATGCACAAATTACACATTTACAAGTAGAAATCACAAATTTTACTTCTAAGAGAAAACCACAATTTATATTTAATTTTAAATTCAGAGGAACCAATAGTCGCGACAAGGAGAAATGAAAGTTGTACATTTATTTACCTATATATAAACTATATATTTAGGTTTTTATTGAACCAAGCAGATAAGCTGCAACAGACAGAGTTGGGTGGAAAAGCCAGAGTAGAAAATGTTACATAGAATTTAATAAAATATAAAGCTCCTATTTGAACTTCTCAGCGAGGAGATTAAAACGTGTTTCCATCTCGATATTTTTCAGAGCCCCCACTCCTCATCATGGAAGGACCCGGCTTTGAGCAAGCTCAGCCTGTTCTGCAGAGAGAGCCGCTGCATGGATCAGTGGGTGCCCATCATCAACCTGCCCGAGCGATGAGCTCGGCCCCCCGAAAACCCCCCCGGCCTGTCCAGAACCAATCGTAATGAATCTGCACAGGAAGAGTGCTTTAAAACAAAACAAAAAGTCCTGCTGCACCGCCAGCCGGTGAGAGAAGAAAAAAAAAAGACGGGAATAAAAAAAAACGCTGAGGACACGTTTAAAAAAAAAAAAATCTCCACTTTGAGCTGGGTTTTTCGTTTGGAATTACGTCCGTTGGCGAGCGAGAAGAGACGGCGAATGACGGTGATACCGTTTGCTTCTCGACGTGATCACCGTGGCTCCGATAAGGATCGTGTCGTTTTCGGCGAAGTCTCAGCCACGAGTCGAAGGAGCGGGGAGGAAGCGGCGCACGGAGCCGTCGGTCAGACTAAGACCGCAGTCTGTCTGCAGAACCGAAGCACTTGTTGAAACACTGGACTTACTGCAGGTTAATTTATGCATCACAGCTGTTCATGTTGAGTTCCATGTTCATGTTATTTCAAAAGGGAAGGGCTACGCATCCAGTGAAGACATTCTGTTTGTTTCTAGATCTTTTTAACCAGCTGGTTTCTTTACAAGTGAAGTAGTACTTTTGTTCAATTCTAAGTTATTCTGATTATATTTATGCATATTTATGTTATGATTTTTTTTTTTACAATTTTTGCAATATCTGAGCACCAGACCAATGTTTTATTGTCAATAAAATTTTTCTGTGATACCAATTTTTAAAGAACGTGTCGACTGATTCTTTATATTTCACACTGAAATCAATTCAATTCAGTTTATTTCTATAGCGCCAAATTCACAACACATGTCATCTAAAAACACTTTACAGTTTTCTATCTAAGGAAAACCAGTTGATTGCATCGACTCATTGGCTCAAATACAATTCCTCACACTAAGCATGCTTGTAGCGACAGTGGAGAGGAAAAACTCCCTTTGAACAGGAAGAAACCTCCAGCAGAACCAGGCTCAGTGTGAGCGGCCATCTGCTGAGGCCCACTGGGGTTCAAGGAGACAGAAGCAGACATAGAAAAAGAAGCATAGATACAAAAGGCAACTGTCAACCAGCTCCACAGGCGGCCCCGTCCAGGAAACACACAGCCAGGCAGACGAGCTCCGAGCCAGCTCCCATGTCAGAGGATGAAGAGAGCACATCCAGTTAGTCACAGTCAGAGAAACAGGACTACACTGGAAAACAGGCCAAGCTCCAAGATCTAGAAACAAAGGTGTTGATGGCAGCAGCACAGCTGATATTTCTCTCCAGGATGGAGTCACAGCCAAACAGGAACAGACCAGATGAAGCTACTATGAGAAAAAGCAGAGAGAGCAGAACGTTAGAGATTGAACTAATAGATTCTGCAGAGTGGGAGAATAGAGATAGAATGAAGCAGAATGATGAAAAAGGGGTCCCTATGTCCTCCAGCAGTCTAAGCCTATAGCAGCAGAACTATAGAGATAGCTCAGGATAACCTGAGCCACTCTAACTATGAATCAGGACAAAAGCTAAACGCCTTGAAGTTGCTGCAGCTGAGGTTGTGGAAAGAGGCGTCACGTGTGGATCACAGGGGTCACGCAGGCCGCTGCGGCCCCAGAGCCATCTCTGAAAACAATAATCCACAGCACTCCCAACCCTGCAGAGGCTTCTGCCGCAGTCAGCAGGACTATGTTTATTCATCCGAATGGGTCTTTTCAACAACTGATACGTAACACTCTGGTTTGCATTTATGCTGAGGAGAAAAGTTCCTGCAGAAAAATCGGTTTGCATAAGATCATAAAGCAGGGAAAACTTTAGTTAGTAGGTGGATTCTGGCATGCAGTTTGTTGTGTAAGCCCTGCTGAGCCGCCCATGCCACTCCTTCCACCCACTTCCCTTTTCAGAGAGTCACATGATCAAATGAGCAGGTGATCTTCCAGAAGCTGGAGGTGATTACGTCTCCCAGCTGATGTAAGGAAGGCAAACCCCCCTGTCACAGTGCTGAGTCATTATCTGGTATCTGTGGGCGAAAGGTTAAAAAGGAGTTTCACAATCTAGGTCAGCCCTCAGTGTGAGGAAGGTCATGTGATGTTTCTAGTACAGCTACGGCGGAAGCTTTGCATACTTTACAGGACAGAGTAATGGAAAAAGATAACAATAAAAATGTTTGCACACATGTCTAATTTGAAAATGTAAATCAATAAATTTGTACAAATATAAGAATTATATTTGTTCCCAGTTCTCAACTTACACATGTGTTAGATCAGGACTTTCATATATCAAAACATGGTTTTAGAATTTAACTCATACAAATTAGAACTTTGCAACAATACAAACCAAGGATGGATCACCAAAGAGTATAAATCAAAAATGTACATTTAGAAATGTATTTACAGGTAAATTTCACAACGTTTATTTAAACTGCACTTGAAATAAGACAATGGAGATGTTTGTTTCTGATTTAAATCGTGTAAAGCTTATTACATTGGAAGGTAATTGAACCTACCTGTCGAAATATACCACAAATACACTTTTTAAAAGAAAATTTCACTTGCTTTACTTTATTCAGTTTACTTTAAGAGAATTTGATCTTTCAAATGGAATTTAAAAAATGCAATTATTCAAACACAATCTGACTCAGGTTATCCTGAGCTATCTCTATAGGTCTGCTGCTATAGGCTTAGACTGCTGGAGGACATAGGGACCCCTTTTTCATCATTCTGCTTCATTCTATCTCTATTCTCCCACTCTGCAGAATCTGTTAGTTCAATCTCTAACGTTCTGCTCTCTCTGCTTTTTCTCATAGTAGCTTCATCTGGTCTGTTCCTGTTTGGCTGTGACTCCATCCTGGAGAGAAATATCAGCTGTGCTGCTGCCATCAACACCTTTGTTTCTAGATGTTGGAGCTTGGCCTGTTTTTCAGTGTAGTCCTGTTTTTCTGTCCGTGACTGGATGTGCTCTTTTCATCTTCTGACATGGGTAGGGTCAGAGCTCGTCTGCCTGGATTTGCGTTTCCTGGACGGGGCCGCCTTCTACAGTTGACTTTTTTTTTTTTATCTCTGCTTCTTTTTCTATGTCTGCTTCTGTCTCCTTGAACCCCAGGTTCTGGTTCTGCTGGAGGGAGCTTTCTGTTAGAAGGGAGTTTTCCTCTCCACTGTCTCCTGTAAGAGATTGCTTAACCCTTTATAGTGCAAGTTACCGTTTTTTATCACCAGCATAACCCTTAAAAATAAAGTCCCTCAGTGAAGTCTAGAAGCACTAGATCTATATCCAGCCATTCAGCAAAGATCCTGCTACATGGCTGATCCTCTTATTCTGGCGTTTGACCAATTAGATGAACCCTTGAATTAGATATTACCTACTGGAAGTTAAGTTGGAAAAAGGTAAAACGGTTAAAAAAGGTTAAAAAAGTAATAAGCCTAGTCAACTATTATATTTAGTATCACTATCAGCATTAATGTCTCTAAGGTTATGTTGGATGTTTCTATCGCTCTCAGACTGTTTTTCAAATATTTCTTCTGGAAACACTTTTATTATTTTTTTTATATATTTGGGCAAGTTGGCGTTTCTTGTTATTACATTGACATTAATTTTTACCATTAAAATATCCAAATATTTTTTATTCACAAAGGTAATAAGGTCTTGTTCTGGATTCCAATAACACTATTCGCTTGAAAGTTAGATTTTCAGAGTATTTCACTGAGTGCCCTTTAAAGGGTTATAGGTATAGAGGACAATCTTTTATTTGTGGATGGATCATCTCAATCAGTGGTCCTCCTAATTGTCAATCATTCTGGTGATATGTTTACGTAAGTCCGTCCTACGTGCTAGCCCCCGTAGCTATCTTTTTCCGTGCACTTTCAGGCGTATATATCTGTGGTGAGCTACGGTTTCAGACAGTCATTGAAGCTCACCTTTCTCACTGCGGTTCTTTGAAAATGGCCGAAGGTCGGAAGAGAAAAAGGCCTCAGAAGAGGCAGATATATCCCGGAATGCTTTATGCGGAGAGCTCCCCTCGCAAAGCATTATGGGATTTGCTGTCACAGCGGGTCACTGTTGTCATAGCCTGCAGGGGCCTGCGCCATGACAAAGATGGTGCAGGCACCTTTTGGTTGAGGAGGAGTTACGTGACCATGCGAGCAAAAAGCAGTGATCTTCTGTCTAAACGGTCTGTTAACTATAAAGTCAACTATATAGTCCCCATGTGCATTCTATTTAAAAGTGGAGAGGGCGTATCTTTTAAAAGTTTAGCGAAAATCCTTTAAAGTCATAGGTAAGCGGCTGTTCCAACCGTTGCATTTCCGAATTCTCCAGAGTGGTGCCCGACTTTACACAAGTGAATAAAGTGAATGTGATTGGTCGATTATCAAGGGGGCGGGATTGTTGTGGCGGAAGGTTCGCAACCAAGTTTGGTTGTGGCCGGTTTGTTGGAAGCATCTAGCTAGCCAGTTAGCAACTTAGCGCTAGTAGGTTCCCAATGGGAAATTCCATTGGGACCAAGTAGCACTAAATTGGTGACTTAGAAACGACGCTGTCAAGGAACGCTATGGACAGCGGAAACATGCAAGAGGAGGAGAGTTTAGTGTCGGAGGTCGTGGATGAGTCTCCTCCGTCATCCATTTTTTATTCAGAGGAGGAAAGCGGGGACGAAGATGTTGTGGAAGAGGACGCCAGGGCGGCAGAAGCTTGGTTTGGTGTAGAAGGCTTCCAGCCGTACATGTTTGAGCCCTTGCCTCGCAACGCTGCCAGTTCTGTTAGCTCTACGCCTGCCGAAGACACAGACGTCCATCCCCGTGAACACTGGGACGCAACTCAATGGGAAAGGAAAGGATTCTGGTTTCAACCGTTGCGTATATTAGCAACGCATATGAATCAAGATGCTATGAGCGAAAACATTTGATTGACAGATGACCGTTGATATATGATTGGCCGAATTTAGGTGTTCAGGCTGACGTAGAACTAACTGGCCTGCAGGAGATAATGGAAAAAACAGATTTTAAGAGGATTTTTTTAATAGAAATTTTCTAAATATTGGGACCATATCATCTGATAAAGAGTACATTTATATGCATCTTAAAGCCAGAATGATTTGACATTTAAACATGATTTCCCTACGACGTTAAGAGTAGAAAACAAAATGCAAGCAAACATCTTCTGTCTTGACACGCTCATTCCAGGAGAAGAGAA